GAGCCAATGACAGCTTTTTAAATGGGATTTCTAGAAATATAATTTATGAAATTTAGTTATGATTGATTGAAATATAAAACAGGGTGCCCCACAGTGGCTCCTTGCTTGTAATCCCAGCACTTTGTGAGGCCAAGGCGAGAAGATCACTTAAGGCCAGGAGTTCAAGGCTGCAGTGAACTGATTGTGCCCCTGCACACCAGCCTGGGCTACTAAGGAAGACCCTGTCTCTTAAAAAAAGAGAGAGAGAATATAAAAACAGATTAGACAGCATTAGGAGTATAGTCGGAATCTGAAGAGGGAATTGCGAGGATGTGGGAGAAAGGGTATTTAAAGATGTAAAACAGCTGCGAATTTTCTAAAACTGCTATAACATAAGTCAGTAAAGGACATCTGTATACACCTAGGAAGATAAAAATAAATCCATACTTGGTGTAACTGCAGAATGCCAAAGACAAAAAAAAATAAATCTTGGGAAGAGTGTCACAGAGAAAAGACAGATCCACCTAAAAACACAAAAACAAAAAAACCCGAAACCAACAATTAGAATGACAGCAGACTTCTCAACAACAATGAAATCCAGAAGACCCTGGGTAATAGTCATATCTTTAAAATGTTGAAAGAAAATAACTTTTCCACTAGAATTTTATGCCTTGTGAAACAGTCAAGGCAGGTGTGTGGATGTACTGTTAGAGCCCATGGACTGCTGCTCAGCTGTAGAGCATGGTCAGCTCACAGCCTCAGCTGCAGAGCTGCCTGACCTTAGGGAATGCCCTTTCTGGGGCAGCCTTCATCCAGCAGTTGTTCAGTGGACTAAAAAGTCATGGCCATTTTTGCTTGATGTGGGACATTCTGAAGGTCATTTGCTCCAGAGCTCCACACCAGTTTGGTAAAGACTTTTCTGATCCTATGTGTCAGCTCTTACTGTCTCTTTCCTTCACAGATACTGTTACCTGATAAATATCTAGCTTGGAACAGCCAGGAGGGTAAATGAGAAATAGGTAGAAGGAAGGGCATATTAAAGATAAGAACAGAATTAAAAACACAATATGGAAAAGATTAATATTTTCTTAATTATGAAATTGGCCAAGAAGGCTATGGGTATTATTTGAACCTGTATTCCTATCAGTGATTCATTTTCCAAGTTAGCAATCTTTTCCTTTAAATGATGGCTAATATCAGCCAATAAGCAAAATACAGGGCTTGATGTATTGACTACAAATTAACTGTCAAGTCTTCAGGAGTGCATTGTTTCCATATAATAAGAAATTTATCTATAGAACCTTATACATGAAAACATCAAATCTGTATATTTCACTGTTGCTTATTTTATTTAAAAGATTTTTCAGTGTCTTTTAATGGAAAAGTTTTTTAAATATACTGAAGATGTTTTTCTTTCCTTGTTTGTAGGTTACTCAAATGAGTCGTCCAGACCTGATTCTCTTTCTGATGAAATACCTGATGGCTCTCATTGTTGGTATTCCTTCCATTTTTTGGGTTGGAAGCAAAAAGACATGCTTTGAATGGGCTAGTTTTTTTCATGGTCGTAGGAAGAAAGAGTAAGTTGATATAATTATCATGATACTCACAAATCTAATATAAGTTTTTAATGTTGCTTTTGTTAAAGTTGGATTTGGAGAGGTATTCAAATGAGATTGTGACCTTGTCGACAGCCTTCAGTTATGATTGGCACAGCAGCATGT